ATTGATTCGGCTCATGTGTCAAGGTAGCTGATATAAAAATATATAAATGATTTATATTTATAGAGAAGAGAAATAAAAGAAATAATATCTCAGTGACGAATATATGTTATGCAATTTTTAGCATCACAGGTTTTTTTTAAACTCCCAACAATATAAACGTTTTATGAAAACCATTTGCTTTTTTCTAGTTTAAGTGAAATCAATAATTAATAAAAAATACTATAAATGTAACTGAATACTGAAAATATATCATACCTCTTATCGAAGAAAACATTCTGAATAAATTTTAAAATGCTGTGAATACTATTGTATATGCATACATTTTATATTATGGTTTTAAGTTTTTAATCTTAACTTAACTCCTTATTAAATACTTTATTTTGAATTATCAATGTCTTGACACAATCATGAATGATAGTTACGAGATATATATTGTATTTAAATTACAAAGAAAAACTTACCTTGTATACATATGATAAACATTTTAGCATTTTATTATACGAAAAACTTCTAACTTTTACATACTTTAAACTTTTTAAAATACATATGATAAATAGTATAATTTTTACGTTTATTGTCTTAACAAAATAATAAAATGATCAATATATTTCAAAAACGTCTAACTGATCTACTTTAAGTACTAGAATTTGCTTTTTAAAAGTTCATTTTATACCAGATTTTAAATTTATTGCATAACAAGTAAATTACAATCATTAAAAATAGCATAAATAGCGTCACTTTATTTATGCACGCAAAATTAGTTAACTATTTTAATCAATCTGCTGTATATGGAAGTTCTTTTAAAAAAAAAAGAAAAAGTCTTTATATTGATCTAAGGAAACATATGTAAATGCAGCCACTTTAAAAGCATTACTCAATGAGATGACTGAATTTTAAGTTAATAAAATGAATTTTCGAATTTAAATAAACGTTTTTAACATTACTTGATTTTCCAAATTTTTACATTCGTCTGGAAATTAAAAAACTGAGTTCAAAAAGATATTTTCCTCTCTAAGAGGCATTGCGTTTTTAAAATAGCATTTGATTTTCGTGCGAAGAGAAAAATACTTAAAGAAATCATTTACTTTGAATGAATTTAAAATATCTAATGAATATAGATTGAAAATTTTGAATATTTCAAGGAGTCTCATATTCCAAAATATAAAATGCACATATGAAATACTACTACAGTAATTCATTACTGCAAAATCGATATTTCTGTATCTCGTGTTTTCTTACTTCAAAACGAATTTTTCTAAGGATTTTTGAATAAAAAACTTTTATCCGAAAAAACAAAAGTTACAGAGAGTATTTTTATTCATGTGCATATAATATTTGTCATTTAATAATTGGATATCATGAAGCAAAGTTTGAAGTCGATTCAAAACACATGCTTGTTATATAATATTCAGTAGAAAAACTTTTCATTTGATATGCAGTAAAAGATTTCTTTTTTTTTCCAATGCCTACCAGGATATTGACCTTCGTCATTCGGGTATCAAAAGGGCAAATTTGTTGATCACTCTCTTAGGGGCAACATATTAGGTGGGCTAACGCTGCTGCCAGGAAAGAACATTCATACCTTATCCAGGATTCAAATCCGAGATCTTTATGACTTGAAATCAGCTCCCTGACCACCACCCATCAATTTTCATAACATATTTCTTAAATATATTACAAGGTAATTAAAATTGCATTGCTGTTAACCATAAGTTTTTCGATTTTAAAATAAAAATAGCGATAATATTTTAATGTATACGAATTTTAAAACTATGATTTTTAGTGACGTTGTCATGCTATAGTGACGTAATTTTTGAATCGTTATTGTCATATAAACCACACAGATAGAATATCATTTGATATTCTGATACCTGTGTTTCTCATGATTTAATGTTTTATATGTCTGTATGCGTCTTACGCTTATGTTTTAGGGTAATTGGGGGTTGTTAACTCTCTCATTCTTCTGCACGTAAGAAGTCGCTTTGATTATTTGTAGTTTTCTGATCATAGCAAAACCATTTTTTTCTACTGTTATTAGATACGAAAATTGAGTATTAGAGAATAATGCTAGCCTAATTTTGCCTATTGTTAGCAGGTAAAAGTTAGATGTCCCAAAATTCACAAAATATTGAATTTTTTGGCATTTATGTGATAAAATTTTTACAACTTAAGTAAAAAAGAAGTAGGGCGATTGATAGTTCAGAGTTATTGAAAAATTTATGCGTTTCAATTGTTAAGCCATATTGAGTAATTCTCTGACTGCACAATTTTCATAATGGCGATCAGAAAGGGCCGGGATAGCCTGGTCGGTAGGGCGCTGGGCCCATATCCAAGAGGTCGTGGGTTCGATCCTCGCCGGCCGAAGACTCCCCGTGTAGTAAATGGTGACTGATGCACGTTAAATCTGTCTAGTCTCAAAGTCCTCCATGTTCCCACAACAAATCAACACCTCTGGGGGTACTGATCCAGGAGTTTCCTTGTCTTCTGGATTGGTTCAAAATTACAAGGCTACGGAGTTGAACGTAAGTAGTCGTAAACCCATGAAATTGGATCGGCTGTTCAACGACGGTTATAAAACAAAATAAAATGGCGATCAGAATTTGCACCTCATATCAGATGGTTTAACTTCTTGGGACATTTACTTTTGATTTCTATTGAGTCTATAGTTCATATCAAGGGGCTTTAAGCCAACAAATATACCTTGAAAGAGGATATTGAGATCTGTAGTTTTTAGTCATCAAAAATCATACAAATCAATGCAAACCAGCCATTGGAAAATTTGAGAAATGAATAATTGTTTGCTACCAAAATTCGTAAGCTACTTAGTATATTATTCCATACAAAGCTCCATACTGTTTTGGAATGGATCAATCAGAAAATGTTAACTGAAACTTTCTATACTGTTTTAATTAAAAATCTCAGCTTTCCATCAAACTTTCACATTGCTTGAATTTCGAGACACCCTCTACTTATCTGCGTTTATACTTAGTTGTTTGCATCTTCTTTTTTGGCTATAATTTCGAGTTTTCACTTTTAGACTGTAATGTTTTTCATTGAATGTCTAATTTGGAGGTTGTATAACTCATCTTTTTAAATGCGCTTCCATATAAATTCCTTTGAATGAAACATATTAAAGATTGATATATTTCAGGAATATAAAAAGACATTTGCGTCACTAAAAAAAACTTCTTTTTAATATTTTAAATATAAAATAAAGATAACGTACCAAATATTTCAATAATCAGGCTAGTATTTTACAGAGCAGTTAAACCAAAAAAAAATTAAACGAAAAGTTTATTGCATTTTCCTCAAATGCGTGTCAAATACAACTAAAAGTTTATATTTCTAAATATCTTTTTAATGAGAAGATTAGCTTGAAATGTCTTAGGGTATTTCAGGAATTTACTGTTGTACTACTCTTGTACTTTTTTTAACAATATCGACATTTTATTTTAAGGAAAGCAAAATTCCTGAAAATAAAGTTGGCTTGAAATCTATAATATCAGATTAGAGTTTATTTTCAAACTGATTTAGTACTTTTGTTAGTTGAATGTGTAATACTTATTTAGTTTTTATTCCCATTTAGTTTTTAGTGTCTAACTTATATAAAGCTTCGAAAATTCATCTAGAAAACATTAATGAAACTGATGTTGCTACAATGAACTTTGAAATGTACCTCGATTTTAATTTTACAAAGACAAATGTAATTATAAATTATGCGTGAATTAAGGAAAAAACCCACACTTATTAAATATAATTTATTTTTTATATATATATGAGCAAAAATAAAATACAATATATTGTGCATACAAATATTTATCACACATATACACACACCACAGATACAGGACCTTTATCAAAAATAGGGTTTATTTTCAAACTACATGATTTTTTATTGTTTCAACTAATTTAAGAAATTAGGTAAACTTAAAATATATATTATGTAAGTTTTACGAATATATTATGAAGCGAACGTTATTATTATTTTTTTATGTATGTCAATCATTGATTTCTAGAATTCGTTGCAAAACGATAGTCACAACCCAAATGCCTAAGCTTTATTTTATTTTTTTTCTTTAAAATTATCAGTATTATTATTTTAAAAATCATTCAATAAAATGTTTAACTTAAATTTACCATTTAAGAAATTATGTTTTAAATATTTACAAAATTTAGTTGAATTGTATATGAAGAAGTTGAGTTTATTTATTATAAAAATCAATTTTTCTCAAGAACAACATTTTGTTTATTCCGACGGTAATGTTTAAATTATAATAAAAATTGATACTTGTAATTAATATAGTATCGCTAATTTTTATAATAATAATTATATACGATATCACTAAGCTTGGTCCCAAAACCATGAATAAATTTATTGTTTATTTTAGGTTTTCTAATATATATGAGGCTTTAATAACTGGAAAATACAGAATAATGCATACTCAATTTTAATGCAAGAATATTTAATACAATAATATTTAATTGAATTGTTTTTAAATGCAGTAAATTCTTTTTTGATTTCAAATGTAAGGAAGGCAACGAAATATATTTTGATGCTAATTGACATTTAATTGTAGTGGATTTTTAATCTAAATCTTCATAAATTTAAAAAGCGTAGTTGAAAAAAATATTTTCTATCAACTGTTAAATTTTTAAATATAAAAACATTCTTTTCTCTTTCTAATAAAGAAATTTATTTCTAAAGTGCTCCAATTTCATGTAACAGTTGATTAAATATAAACGAGTTGATTAAATATATAACGAATGCTAATAAGTATCTAGAGACGCCCTAGAAATTTAATCATATACAACCAATGTAAAATTTACGTGTAAGAATTCAAACAAGATTATACAAATAATTCTTAAAAGAATTTAAAGTTGAACATAGCAAAGTAGCAAAAAATTATTTTAGAAAAGAGATTAAGTTACATACTTTCTTATTTTAGTATTCATTAATTATTATAAGTATATTCAATGATATTGATTAATATTTATTTAATAATTCAGTGGATTTGTTTTAATTTAAAATTTATGAATGAAAATAATAGCAAATATTAGAAATCATTGAGATTAGATTTTTTTTAAACTTTAATTTTAACTAAACTTTAAGTTGGTAGAAGAAATTCTTTCCTAAAAATCATGTAATGTAAAAATATAACATTAAAGTATTTTTACACCATGTTCAGGAAAAATCACAAATAGTCTTACAATAAATTGTAATTTAGTATTGATTTTCGTCAAATCACAACTTTACAACAGACAGCACAGTGTACAAAATATTCATTTCACTTATGGCAATGTCAAATTGTGCCATACCTGGAGGGAAAAAAATAAAGATTTCAAATTATTGAAATAATATTTTTGTTGTAAGTAGCTACATTTAAATAGTAATATGTCAGTGTAACACTAAATATAAAATATCTATGATAGAAAATATATATACTAGTAAAATATATACACCGAATAAATATGCACGAAAAATTAGTATTTTCTTAGATTAAAGAAAGGTAAGTGGAAAAATAATCATGTTTTGCATTGTAAGCATTAATAATTAATAGGGTGTAGAACAAAACCAGTTAAACTAGGCCCAACATTTTTTACTAAATTGCTTCTGCCATAGATCAGAAAACTCATAAAACTCATTGTTGGCAGTCGCCAGGCTGTTCGATGGTAAATGAAAAACAAAGCAGACTATTTTTTTTCATTGACGCCAAAGTTTTTAACACTGTTCGATAATCTCTGTTTTTTATTCAGTCAATTTAATTCTTTAGGTTTTTTTTTATTTTTATCGTGTCCATGAACAATTAAATGGCCTCGTGTGCCTTCAAAACTGCATCCGCAAGCTCCAAGACATCATTACTGTAGAGGATTTCACGAAATTCTGAAGCCAGTGGCACCATACCCAGTTGTAAAACATATGGGGTACGGGCTGGGCACTCGAGAATGTGATCCGGGGTAAGTTGGATATCGGTGCAGTTCTTGCAGGGAATATAAGTTCTTATTTTGTCGGGAAGAATTTTCATCCCTTTAAAGTGGTTTGTTCTTAGTCTTGTAATTGTTGATGTTAAGATTCTGGAACAATCAAAGTCAGTAATGAGGGGTTTCCTGAAGGAATGGAGAAGAATTCTATGTCTTGCAACTGCATTTGGTGGTGCAAGGTGGGTCGGCTGGAAAAGGAGGGTTGCTAGAGCCTCGAGAGGTTGGACTTCTACCTGTTGGTCTTCTATTGTTATTTCCCTTCTACCACCCACTGGAGAACCAGTGGAGGCATACTCTTATCCGCCACCTGCGGACGCGCTCTCTAGGGGCTACAATTCCTTAGTTTCTCAGGCGATTGCCTTTAATTTTAAAAATAACTTTTACATTACGTTTGAAATATGTTGAAGTATTTTTTTTTTTTTTTTCTTTGTTAAATGGCAANTTTTGCTTTGTTAAATGGCAATGTCTTATAAAACCGGGACTTTCTCAATCGGGCACTATTTGGTAGCCATATTTAAAACTGATTAAATTTCTTGGAAAGTTGAAATCTGTGTATCAAGTGTAAATGATGGACACATGAAGCATATGGCATTACATAGGAATATTATCAAAGTTTTTTGTGATTATGTTCTTAAATCCCTAAATGCAAGCTCTGTCGCCTTGGGAAGGACATGGACCAGTCCCATATTTCCATCTGTCCTGCGCTCACCTCCACTACTGTGTGTGAACGCTACTGGGAGGCTAGGGCCCGTATGGGCTAAGCATGTCACTATGCATTCTATTCTATTTATCTGTTTTTGCCTTGTTTTTCTTGTTATGTAATACTTTTCGTTCTTCTAAATTGGCCAGCCAATTGGAAGTAATGAAATTTTCTTAAAACTAAACAAGTAATGAATATTCGACATCTTATTTTCAAAGTATCACGAAAAATAAGACAGTTGTTCCAATTTTACAGCTAATGACAAATTTTATGACGAAAATATCATAATTTTATAAAGCCTAATAAAGACACAAATAATTTGGTCTTTATTTGGATTTAATTAATAACGTCGCAATAGGAATACTCAAAAGAGTTGTAAGATCACAAGAGAATGTTGGCAAGTGAGATCACTATATTACTAAAATGTAAATGAGAAAGCAGGTTTAAGTAGTAAACTCCCGGTCATTGTAACACACTTCTCAACTACCCAACTATACATTCATTTTTCCGGTTCTGAAAGCATCGGATGGATTGCATTAAAGAACCACTAAAGTATAATAGATAGAAAACACTAAACAGTGATCAGATATACTGCAATCCAACTAGACTGTATATTTTTAGCTAAAGAATCAAGCAGACTTTTAGCTGACCGGGCAAGACAAGTGATAACTCCAAGTAACGTAATTACAGGCGATATTGAAAATAAATTTATTCATATTTGTATGAGAAATATCTGCATAAATCTATAATTTTGAATTGTCCCACTAACGAGGAATAGTTCTATAAGTACAAGGAAATGTCTAAATGAAAAAAGAAAATGGGTTAAGTTCAAATAATAAAAAAGATATTAAAAATAGCCGTTTTTGCACCAGAAATAACTACTATTCTCAATGCCAAGTGATATAGAGTGATAAACGGAAACTTCGCAGAATAGGTTGGGTTTTACCAAGAATTTAAACGGGATATTGTTATGTTTCCTCCCATTGATATAGCTAATTGTTCGTAAAATTTTTGTACCTTCTGACAGCGACAAAACATATAACTATATAACAAAACATATACTTATATAATTTGATTCTTTTTTAAATTTTTAAACTCTACAATATATATTTTTACGAAAATAAAGAAGGTATAATTATATTTTATCTTATATAGTATTATATAATTTACTTTCACAAATTACTTTCATAAATTATATAAAAAATATTTTGTAAATCCTATTATAAAAGTAAAATTATGTTTTTAAACTAATAACTAATAAACGGTTTTGTTAAGCGATTGATAAATCAGAGCTTAAAAAAATATATCTTAATTTTAATTCAACCATTATTTAAAAACTGCAAAACGTAAAAAAAATACCTTATGAAAAGATTTAATTGCTTCTTTCAATGCGTGCTGTTTTTTCAATTCATCAATAAAACATCAAGAATTTGTTTAAATGCTTGCAGCAACACTTCAATGTAAAAAAATGTCAAAAAAGTGTGGTTTTCTGAGATACCTGAAAAACATATAAGTCAAAATTATGAGATTCATTATATTTCTAACCAAAACCTAAACCTAACCTAAATTATGTGAATTCTTTTAAAATTTATACATCATATTACATTTACCACAATGTACTTTGGAAACGTAATTATTTGAAAATGCTCTTTATACATTACCATTATTTTTTTTTATTTAGAAGGATAACATGACTATTGTACTGATTGCAAAAGTGTGTCATCAAATTAAATAGATCTTAGGCAGATTTCAACTTAGAAGCTTGAACGAGGAAACACTGATTCTCTTTTTTGGGTATAATTCCATTGTGTTTTAAGTCAAGAAAAGACTGACAGCGATGTCTGCTTCGTAGATATTTTGTAATAATTACGCCAAAAGAAGCTGCCTGGAAGTTTCGTCGCACACCTTTGCATTGGTGTGGGAATCAGCATTTATAGGAGTTCAACCTGAATTACGACTTGACAATGGTATCACTGCCAAACCAAAGTCTTGACCCAATCGACTTCTAATTGATCTAAGTAATCAAGATCCTATTCATTAAACAGCGTTTCGATATCATTGATTATCCAAGCATCAAGCACAGTTGGTCTCCTTCAAATGAACCTTATTGGACCTTTCAGTTAATTTCTAACAACCGAATCAAAAAAAATTTTTCGATATAAAATATTTATTATTTTGTATATGAAATATGTATGTTATTTTCTGTTGCACATTTAAATTTCATGCAACTTTAAAATTTAGGGATAAAAAAACGCATAAAAGAATAAAATGTGAAGGATAAGAAAACACATTATAAAAATAATCATTAAAAATTATACATATTTCAATGCTAATAATTTTAAAGCGTACCTACTATGATCTACGTGATGTGCAGCCACGATAAGCATTTTCAATGTATAATATTTTCCAATTATTAATTTTAATTATTTCGATAATATTTTCTTAATTAATTGAAAAAATCTTCATTGCTAGGGCCGCCTTTCGGAAGATATTTACACCAACATAATTCCTTTGCTGGAGCTCTTGAAAGTCAACATTTTTAAGAATCTTTTCAGAATTCGTCAGACAGCGAAGAGTGTCAACAGCAATAACAAATGTCTAGAATATTAAGAGAAATGTTTAAAAAAATCGAATGCTTATTTATCCTGTTTTTATTTTGTTATTAGCTTATTTGTTTCTACTATTTCTGGACGGGCATTTTTGAAACTATTCACCTAAAAGCTTCCCAAACTACACTATAACTTAAATTGAAATTGAAAGATGGAAACATGAAATTAAAATAAAATATTAAAGAATGATTTACAATTGTCTGATGGATTGATTCATCGTCATCCTGTTTTTCTAAAATGAGGACTCCACTTTTATTAGGTTGCTTCATATCTTCCTCGAGCCACGGAGATGGATGCGCTACTGTATCTGGAGAAAGTGTCACTGTTTTATAATCACGATATGTTAGATCATCTAAGCTCACTTCTGTCTCTGCTTTTTCATGTCCTCTTTTCTGCACATAACACAAAATCACACACAGTGTTAACAATAAAATAATGATAATTTAACGTGTATTGATTGAAAAATTAGTTGAAAAAGTAAAATTAATTGAAAAAATGAAATTAATCAAAAAAATAAAATTAATTGAAAAAATAAAATTTATCGAAAAAATTAAATTAATTAAAAAATTAAATTAATCGAAAAAATAAAACTAATTGAAAAAATAAAATCAATCGAGAAAATAAAATTTATTTAGAAAATGAAATTAATGGAAAAAGATTGTGAAATTAAAAATATAAATTAATTTTTCTAGCTTGGCTATCGAATTATAACATCGTAAAAATATATTAAAAGTATTGTGATTAATTAAATACTCTGATTAACAATTTCTTTTTTTTTTGTTTTCTGTTGCATGATATTTTATAAATGGACTTTAGGCATCGCATCGCTGATTCATAATCAGCAATCCATCCATTTCCTCACACTGCAGATTTATAAAGAGACAAGACATTCGTATTCACCATAATTTATTAATACTATAAAAATACCTATATATTTTCCTATACCCGATTATAGAAAATTAACAGAATATAAAGAAAATTTCGGAATAAATGGTCTACCACTTTTTCATAAAGTGCTATTTGCAACATAAATTAAATCGCATTGTTAAATACATTTTTGCTTGAAAATTTTCAAATGGATTACTAGAGCAACTGATTAGTGAAAATTTCATTTATTAATACGGCTTCTAAAGACATTTCTTATTAAACTTCGTTAAGTAAAGCGTATAATAATACTGATAAAATAGAGTATTAAATAACTAGCAGTTAATATATAAAAATAGTAAACCTATGCAATTATGTTTATTTATTTTGATTTATAAATTCTTATATAATTATTTATCTCCCCTATCTACCCAGTCTGTAAAAGCTAAATGATTTTAGAAACATAAGATAATATCTGCCATCTTTGAACTCAATAGATATTTTAACAGTTCCTTTTCTAGTTAATATTTGCGTCTCGTATGGCTGAGAATATTTGAAAAATCTTACTATAATTTCACGCTTTTTCTATTATTTTTAAGTAATGATGAAAAATATTTTATTTCTAATGTTATTCTTTGTGTTATTTTTTATCTATAATGTAATTTAAAATTCTTGGGTTGACAAAAAAAGAAATGTATATTGTGATACTTATTACAAACCATTCTATGAATTTAATTAAAGCTTAGTTGAAATGATGAATAATGTGTTTATCACTCACCTTGAGGCTCCACGATCTTTTCAAAGCAACTACACAATTTCTGTAATTTTTGCTACATTTGGCACTTTCAGGAGACTGGCCTTCTCTCAAGTTGGCACTTTCAAAGCTCTCATTTTCACACACTAAAAATATTTTTTTAAATATTATTTTGAAAGTGATAGGAAAGACCTCAGAGAATTGCACAATTGAAAAAAATAAGCGAATCTCAAGTATAGTAAATATTTGCTACTGATGAAAACAGCAAAAAAAGTATGAATTCTGTAATCGTGATAACTCAATTTTCTGAGTATCGGCAGTTTTCAATTAAAGGGAGTAGATAGAGCATATATCAATGATGCTTAAACGGACCTTTTTCTAACTGAAATATTACTAAGAACCGTTTCTAAGAAATTAATGATATCTCTTTGACATTTTTTGGGAATATTTGAGATTATGTCAGTTATATATTGTGTTAATGATTTAGTGTTAACAGGAATAGTTTCAGAGTTTCTGAGATCAGAAGTGATGAAACTTATCAAAAACGATCTCAGTGATGAAACTTCAGGCATCAAAAGCTCTCAATTCATAATTCTTAAAAACAAATTCTGCTAAAGATATGTATTAACAGTTATCACAGTGTAAACATGTATAAGTAAAGATTTCGTCGAAAAAAATTTAAGTGAGATAGGATTAAAACATGTATAAGTTCTTACAGAGAAAAGGTGCATCGAAAAAGATCAGTTTTAGCAATATTGTTAAATGCTCTACCGACTTCCCTTAAAAGATCGTCAAAATTAATGCATATAATGTACACATCATGATAATGTGACATTTCATAAAACGGAATCAAACATGTTTACCATCCAGGTAGACTTATAATTATCGTTTAACTTATCATTATAAATTTCATTCATTGTATAAGCATTGTATAAGCATTCATTGTATAAGCTCCAATTTTAATTAAGCGAATTTCTAAGCACAAGGAAATAGTTTTTAACTAACCTGATCAGTTTTTAGATATTATTTAATAAGCGTTACCCGTATTGGTGAAATGTGCTCTCAAGTGCTGTGTTTAAAGAAATACTGGGTCCTCAATGATAGCATACTGTTGTACCAAGGAATATATATTTTAATACTCTTTCGCAACACATCTGCTATACTGAGCATATATTTGGATTACATAAAAAAGTAGGGTGTCGGAAACTTTTACCTTAAAATCTATTTTACCGGAAAATTTTATGGAACAAAAAATGTGATTCACTAAATGTTTCACAATAATAATCACTATAAAATCACTCTAATTAAATAAATATTTCTGTAAAAATTTCAGTATAATGTTTTACAGTAAAAATTAATTTTACGTTACTTTATATCTTAATTTGATCCAGAATGTTCTGCAATGTACTTTTGAATTAAATTATTTTTGTGTTGTAACTAGTTGATCTTGAGTTCCTTACTTTACTGTGACGCCCGAAATATATACTGAATACTGATTTTCTAAGTATGTGGGTCAGGCCAGAAAGCGATTTTTGACACAAGCAAAATAATTTAATAGAGATATTATTCATCAAAAATATTGGGTCAATCAGGAAAGTAAAATTACTCGTCTTGGGAAGTAAAATGAAGGAAAAATCCAGAAAAAATATTACAATAAATTGAAAATATGTATGAAACTTGAACTATAACAAAAGTTATTAACAGAAATTTCAAAAAAATATTTTTCCTCTGGGCATGTCATACACCATTTGCTTGGTCAAATTAATTTTCAGTTTCGTATTTTTAACCATAATTCCCAGTAAATCGTTAATAATTGAATGAAAAATTAAAAAAATAAAGGTTTAATATTTTTATTTTTTTGATATCTATCAGAAATTTTATTACCAAACAGTACGGTAATTACGAAAATAAATTTTCCTCATCGCATGGTTAAATTCTAAGTTTTATCATTTTGGGTTAATTAGAGGTCTAAAGGTACAGTTAGGTTTATTATTACTCCAGACTTCATTTATAATGTGTGTGTCACTGTCACTGTGTGCGTATGATATACATGAAATATATAAGTCTTCGAAGCTCACCATTAATAGGGGGAACAACGTCTGGACACGCCGCAGAGTTTTCTGTAAAATCTTCAGGTAATTTCTTTGAAGACATATTCAATCTAAAAAAGAGTTCATTTGAATACTTATTGAAGTAGATAATGGTTTTTAAACAAATTCTATTGCAATTTTACTAGTTTACTAATGTCTATAAAATTAAAGTATATAACCTTACAAATCAACTGTTTACTTTTCAGAGTCATTTAAAACGATCAAAGTATAAGTCTTGAAAATGTTTAGTAAATATTTAATTTCGGTTTGTTCGATTGAGAGAAAAAAAGCGCCAAAATAGTTCGGAATCAAATAATAGTCAAATTTGAAAACCCCATGTATTCAAAATTGAGAAAAATGCTTCCAGAGGGCTGAATGTGTACACAAAATGTTCGTTGCCTGACGACAGCATACGAACCAAGTACATCCAGTTCATAGTAGGATTCTCTAACCACCTTAGTTGTACTCACCGTTCCAAGGACTGTTAGGAAACTTTATATAGTAGCTGCCGCACTGAAACTTCATGACACTTGTTTCTTATTGCATAAAGAGGTACAATTTGAAAAAATATGGTTTCAATAGCTTAGTTTAGAGATCAGTAATTTTAATCTCTCTCTTCTCTCTCTCTATCTCTCTCTCTCTCTCTCTCTCTCTCTCTCTCTCTCTCTCATATATATACCAAAATGATTATGAAAGCAATATATATATATATATATTTCAAGTTGTTTTCTTATTTTAAATTTGAATCGGGATTCTATGTTCAAAGAAAATGATAACGTTTTAGAAAATCAACTGCAACGCCAATTTAGATTTTCTGACTAATGTTAATAAAGCTGTAGGTACTTTAAATTAGAGTTCAAAGGTTTTAGAATTTCTGAAATCCTCTGAAAGTACTGAATTAAAACTTTTAATATTAAGTCAATGAATGATACCTACATTTCTATTACATATTTCAAGCTAGTTTTTGACGAACATATTAATGTCATGCATCTCATACCAGAAAAAACTGTGCATTCACATTATAGCAAGTGTGATATTTTTTTCTATTTTCAAGGAAGTAAGTAGCATGAATCAACTAATTGCATATCAAAAGTTTTTGATGGCATAATTACAACTATAAAATCTTACGAATACATTTGAGGACAAAAAATATCGATGCATCAATTAATAACTTACTTTATTGTATCGTCTTCCTCTATTGATGTGTCTAAAAGAATTAAAAGAAAGTTTGAAAAAGCAATTTAAAAAATTCCAAAGTTTATAGTGCATAGTATGCATTAACACCAAACTATTTTTTAAATCAAATATTCAGCGTATAACAATGCAGTCCTAAATCTTAGTAGATTAATACATTTAGAAACATAAATCATGTAACTTTATGAAACTTATAAGTTTCAATATGTTTCATTAGAAATAGTTATTTTCAACTTAGTTTGGAAAAAAAAATTTTTTTCAACATTATTTTCATAAATACGGATATGTTGTCCAAGAACAGTGATTCTCAACCTTTTTTTTTTGTTGCGGCACACTTTTAACGATTTCGAAATTTGACGGCACACAATGAAAAAAATTAGATTAAAAGTTGGTTAATTACCTATTTTACACTGAGTTAAATAGTTTGTGATCATAATTTTGAATGTGAAATTAAATAATATGTACTTCAAAAGCACATTTATTAAAGGATTCATTATTTCTTTGGACCCATTTTTTTATAAGTTAGTAACAGTTATTTATTTTTTTGCTAGTTACTAATCGTTAGCTTGTTTTCTATAGTTATTAACGGTTATTTTTTTGTGATTTCTTGTTAACTAGTTTTTGTGCTAATTATTAATTGTTAGCTTAATTTTTGTTAATTATCCTTTGTTAATTTGCTTTTTATATATTTGTTATTTTAGTTATCCTTTGTTAATTTGTTATTAATTTTGTAGCTTACTTTAATGATTAGCTCCTACAACATTTTTTAAAATTCTGTGTCATATACAATTTAAACACTTCCATCTTATCTTAAGATTGTCAGAGACAATACAATCGCTGACTAAGATGTTCACGCGGTAAAAGCGTGGAAAATTATAAAAAGTATTATATATATACAATTTTCTTTAATTTAAACTTTACTCATAATTAAAAAAAAAGCATTATAATTTTCATTGTATCATTTCTAATGCTTGGCGGCACACAAAAGTGCCGTGGCACAGTGGTTGAGAATCACTGTCCTAGAAGATTAAAAAAAATGGACTAACATAAGTAATAACAAAAAAGTAAATTACAGAGCTGAAAAATAAGTCCTAAAGCTTTTATTATAAAAAGCAAATCAAGAAGACAAATAATGTATAAGTCTCAAAACCGGAAGTAATGTGGTTAATACTCAAAAAATAATAACATCTTTTCCCTAAATTTATATAAACATTATTTTGTCAGGCTACTTTTGAAAAATAGGAACCCAACATAAGCCGTGACATTTAAGATAAATTTATATCTATTTGAATTTACTAACTGACAATTAGTGTACCAGAAATATATTTGAGGAATTAGATAGTATGTAGCATTAAAAATCACTTCATAAAAAATTTAATCGGGTCAGAAGCGTTTTTTTTTTTCTCATCTAAAATTGATATCTGAAATTCGCAGTGGATAGTGAATTTCATTTTAAGGATGAATTGAGTTATTAATATTTAATAATGCCTATTGAATAATGAAATTATTTAATGCTATTCGCGCGTGCCAGAATCGCATATCCTATGTGGAGAGAAATGAGTGATAGGTACCTTTTTGCCTTCTTTTCTTCCGTATTTGAAAGAGTGCCAATGCGACTACGCCTATTACCAGGAGAGTACCTACTGCTGCCAGCATTACCGCTACTATTGAACTGGTGCTTATCATTGAAGAGGCTTCTGAAATATATACGTCATTTGAATTATCTTTAAAAACACTTCCTGATCTTATCATTAAAGGCTAATACTATGGAAATAAATTTCAATTGTGGTCATTCACGTATTAGTATACAATAAATGTTTAATGCAGAAGTTATCAGTTTTGTTTCTAACAATGACTCTGAATCAATTCACGAGACTCAAGTACCCATTTTGAAACCGAACACTTTATCAGATATTCATTAGTGAGTAAATGTTAATTAATTATATGGTTTTGAAGAGTGAAATGGATAAAAAAATCAATAACTGAAGGAGTTATAAAGTAATAAATTTCAATTGGGGTCATAATATAAATAAATTTCAATGCAGTTAGTTTACCCATTATTATATTTAAAAAAAAAATATTTAATGCAGAGTTTCTCTATTTTTTATATTAGTGACATAAAATTATCAAATACGAGACTCAAGTACCTATTTTTCAAACTATATCCTTTCATCTATAGTCATTAATGGAAAAACTGCAAATTGGCAAAAATGGCAAATTATAGGCTTTTTGGCTACATAATTGGATAAACAATTAGATAACGATTTTAAAAGAAACTGGTTTTACAAACTTATTTGAGATCCATTTAGACGAATTTATATGTCCAAATTAGAGCAGAACCCATGAGAAAAGATCCTATTTTCGATGCATATAATAATGTAAAAAGCGTAGCTAAATAAATGTATCTGTTAATTTGTTTTTATTTCAATAATGTTAGTTTATGAATTCTTAACTGGTGTCTCAAAGGAGTGAGCATTTTTAAATCAAATAAAGAAGAATGGAGCAATGCAAAATATACTGTTTTATAGGAGTTGCTTAGTAAATAACCAATTCATTCTCATGAAATTTCAAATTTAGGTATAAACTCATTGAATAAATAGCGCTTCTTGTCTGCCTTAAATTAGTAATACCGTTGGTGATTTATAAAATGTTCTGAAAATTTAAAAGTTACTATAATTTCTCATGACTTTTACAATGACAAAAAATTCAAATTTGAAAATCATGAGTTGGATAAAATCCTTAAAATAATAAATTCGATAATAATTTGTAACAATTCAATGACACCGTATGGATTATTTAACTTTATTTGATGAAAAATGAACTAAGGTTTCAATACGTTTGGATTTTTAGTTTAATACTACAGTAATTTGCTATATTGTAAATTTTTATCCGCACTAATTGGTTCAGGGATAATATTTTTATTCTATTTTTAAATTTACATTTTTTCTGAAGAAATAAAGCTTCAGGCCAATTCTGGAAGACATAAGTTAATAAGCGCAGGGATATTTTTTTTATCGTCTGGAAAGTTTGAGTTTTGAAAGAAAAATGGCTTCTTGTGATATGCCCTAGTGCATTGATATTAAAAATAAATTTATTTTTTCATGATTTATAGTGTTTTTTAAATTTTTATGATATGACTTGCGTTCGTGATAGATAAAAAAATATGATTCTTGTTATAAAAAAGAATTTTTTCGTGCTTCTAACAATGACTCATTTTCAAAAGAATTTTTTCAAGCATAACTTAATAATTTCTCTTTTGCTTTTCAAAATTGCGCTAATTAACTCCCTGACCATAAATGTTTTTCGTTCGAGGAGTTTTCTCATTTTATCTCAGTCTAACAAATCAAAATGCGCAGTTAATTAAAACATAATTATTAACCCCAGATAAGTCATGAACGCTTAAATAGTAATTAATTACAAAGCATCATCTGTAAACATGAACTTTATTCCATTTTCGTTGTTCTCGAAGGAATTTGAAACCGATAGGAAGATTTTCAAAATATATAATTATATGCCTGACATACATGGAAAGATCAAAGCTAAGATATCTGGAATGTATTTTATAATTAATTATAATACATTTTTGCTTTATCATTTTTATATGATAGAATTTTATACAATATTTTAAAAGAAATATTCTTTTGACATTAGAAAATGCAATTTTAGCTTACAAAAAACGCATTTTAATTTTTTGTACTCTTAAGATTCTTCATTGATTTTACAGGATTGGAAAATACGGAAACGAAACATTGATAAATAACTGAAACAAAATAAAGACACGTTCATAACAATTATGCGTATATATATATATATATAAGAATNTATATATATATATATATATATCTGTAAAAGATAAAAGAATTGAAGAAATTTTGGAATTTAGTTACAAAAGTTGTAAATAGAGGACATTGAGGAGACATTGACAGAGTTATCTGTTCTAGAGAAAAGGAGGTTGCTCTTGTACCCTATTAGGAGGTTTACACCATGTATTCAAATGAACTACGAGTATATTTGGTGTTGGAATATCATAGGTCAGATTTCAGTTTATCAGCATTATTATCTTTTAAAAATTTTGTTCGGTGAATAGCGCCATCTGCTGGCAACTATTGAGACTAAATTCCAAAATTCTGTACAAAAAGAAATTCAGATTTAACAATAAAAAATTCGTTTTTTTTCCACTGATACATGATCCCTCCTATCCAAGATTTTTAATTTTTCAATCAGTCAATTTTCCACCCAATACCCTGTTCGTTATCTGTGTTAGTATACAGAGCGTAGTTATAAGACACTTCACCAAAAATAAGTAAGAAGTACATGGTTAGACTAGAAAAACAAGAATAACTGTCATGGTTCTGACTGACATTTAAAATAAAATTTAAAATTAAAAATATGTTGGTATATAGGGAATTTAATAACTGATATTTTGAAACCGGGGAAAGTATTCTATCAGGGAAAGTATTTAATCTTTGACAAAGATAATAATCATTTTTAGATAGATAATCACTTTACAGAAAATCAAAGATTTCCAATGAGATGCAAATTCTGAGAAAAGTTTCCATGCATTCATTTGCTGTAAAAAAGAATTATTATTGTTGAAGAAATAAAAAGAAATATTTATCAAGAAATAGAAACTGAATTTGTCTTAAACATTTAATGTTATATGTAAACGTTATAAATATATTTTCATCTCGCCTTCAAATATGATAAAAATTCTTGAATTATAATATGATATGCATGCATACCTGCTTCACTATCTTTAAACGAAAGTGTGTTTGCTAAAAGTGCGACCGTATTGCTCCTTCCTTTTTCATTGGATGCAGATATTATGAGCACAAAAGGTGTCCCAGGAGGTAGTTTAGTTACTAAAAATAAAGGCAAATCCGATGTTGTGATATTTGTTTCAAGAGCATCTTCTTCAGAGTTATAAACATCCAAATGAAACTTCTGAGGTAAACCGCCATTATAGCCTGCCTCACAATCAATTAAGAGCCAAGTTCGTGATCTGTTAGCAACCACACAATTTCTAACTGGATCAGGTGGACCTATAAAAATGCAAAAAAAAAAATTTTTTTTTGCATATTTATTTGTGATATGGAACATTTGTTTGGAATTGCTAAGATTACAATACTATTCATCACCTTTCTTTTTTATACGCCGATAAAAAATACATTTTCGCAGTAGAAAATAATTTATTACATACACATCTGCTCATCATCAAGCAATTCAATTATGAACGAAAAATATTATTGATACGTGCCTAGATTTGAACTTTCAAATTTCGGTCTTTAAAAATCCAATTATTATTTCAAACAATTTTACAATTTACCATTCACACTTAAATAACATAAGAATATGGTTAGCCTATCAAAATATACAAAATATGGCATCTAAGCTGATTCTACATTTTATTTTATATTTTTCTCAGATAATCACTTTGGTAATAGGTTAAAATATAAAAAGTTTTGTTTCACATGCAATAAGTCAGTGTTGACGATACCAAAATGCAGACCTAGTATCAGAAATATTATTAAAATGTTAAACTACAATAACGGTAAATACACAAGTGGGCGACCTTTGTGCTAAAATACAAAACTAAGACAAACAACGTTAAAGTGCACAAAAAGTGCTCGTTAACGTTGTTTGCCTTAGTTTTGTACAATAACGGTACTTAGAACCATAATATGGTTTCAAATTTGCATGATAAGAGGCAGAATTATAATTATCTACCATTTAAATTGAATCCATAAATACGTGCAACCACATCCTAGAAGCCCAATAATATGGTTTAATTTAACACCATACGAAACGCCGTCAACTTAACACCAAAATTGAACGAAATTACTATTTATCACATTCCAAATTACCTAATAGTGTAATTTTGTTTAATACTTAAATAACTGGAGTGGTTATTTTGACCATAAATCAACTTTGAGAAGCGATATGTCTCGAAATATTTATACCAGCTAGCTTGACTTTTGTGATTTTTTAAGTCTTTTGGGGGTCTTTAAAAGAATGAAAGTTAACATTTATTAGAATATATAATGAGTGTATAAAATGACGATTTATCAAGAATGACCATTGTGGTCATAATGACAGTCATAGAGATTTGAGTGTATTACTTGGATATGGCATGCTGTTTCTGCTACATTGCTTACCTTTATTTTATTTGAACACGCGCCTGACTAGATCATTACTGTGCAAGTTATTTTTTACACTTTTTTTCACGTTGTTACTCTCCGATGCCCTCAGAAATGTTTACGCAATAGCCAACTGTTTATATTCAGATCGCTTCGAGATATGAGTTTGCAGTTGGATTCGAAATGACTTACTTGATCTACCATTCAAAAAAGTATAAATTCTTGTTAAAAAATTCTCTATTCGTATTTTAAAGCAGGAAAAAATAATACAATCCTATGCGTAAAATTGTTTGGTTCAAAAATACGTATACATACTCAAAAATTTATTCAGCACATGTAGGAAAAAAACTACGAACTTTGGATTAATTTCTGGTAGGCTTTAAAACTTAATGCTAAATATGTTTTGAACAGTTTGATGTAACTAGCAGCCAAAGACAGAAGTAAGCCAAAGACAGAAGTAGCTTGGTGAACATGCCGTTATGCAACTGTTGAACAGGTTTTTTTGTGGGAAAGAAATGTCCCAACGGACATCTTTTTACTTCTTAAATACTTGTTTGCTTTTTACAAGAGAAAAAAATAATGGTGGCCGCAAAACGTTTAATTTATGGATAAATCCCACCAATTAGCAAAGCTACTGCTACCTTACACTTTTTTAAAAAAAGTATTCTAATTTAGGGTCACTATAGATCAATGTAAACTAAGAAAGAAAGAAAAGAAATATCGACATTTTGAGAAAAATACATATTTATGGAAGGGTTTGCATAGTTTATAAATCTCTAAATTTCCCTAAAAAAGTAAGTATTTTTAATATCTACATATGTTTCGTTCCCAATAAAGTTCATTGTATGTTTTTTCAATACCTATGTCTTGTACCCGTTTTCACTCACCGCCTAACTTTTCTAAAACTCATGCAATAAACACTATCAATGTTCTTTCCTGACAACACTTAACAAAAATGTACGTTTTTCCTAAAACCTATTTCTTGAAAATGCTAGGAAACAATGGTATGTAGCTGCAATGGTATGTAGCTGTTGTATAATGTTATTATTTTTCTGAAAATAAGGGCAATTTTTTTTTAAAAAATAGCATTAAAATACTGCAGAATGTTAACATTTTTAAAACTGACTTTTTCTAATTTTTCTAATTTTAACATTTGAATTAAAAATCGAATGCTTATGCTCATTTTCAAATTGCTACCAAAATGACAGCAATGGTCGTTCTAGCTATGTAAAAATATCGGTAGTTTTAATATTAATTTACTGTATAATTATAACTTATGTTATGTCATGTTATGTTATGCTATGCTATGCTATGCTATGCTATGCTATGCTATGCTATGCTATGCTATGCTATGCTATGTTATGTTATGTTATGTTATGTTATGTTATGTTATGTTATGTTATGTTATGTTATGTTATGTTATGTTATTATTTTCTAAGAATAATAAGTTTTATTTTAAAATACCAACCATGTTCAAGTGAAACATATTAAGCGTGCATTATTACGTTAGTTCATCAAATACATAAATTTCTGTGTAGCAACTAATATGAATCTGATTTACTCTATGACAAGAAATAAAATGAAGAGGTATTATCTCAACATTTTTAATCAGAACATAGACAAATGATAAATACCGCAGAATTTTTATGAAATATATTAATATGAACTTCATATTTAAGCTTCGTTTAGTTTTGTTTCGTTTGTAACACGCGATACTAATTTATTCGACAACTTCCTATAAATAAAAACAATTTGATAGGCTAGACACAAAATAAGTCAAATCAATTTTTATGTGCTATATTTTAATGGTATACTATTCTTAAAATTTTGTAATCCTTATTTTGTAATCTAAGCTCTTAAAAAAATTCTTTTGACTCTATTTCATATTTCTTTAAGCCCTCATAAGTTTATCCAGTAGAACAATTAAGGATTTTAATTTAAAACTTTTAATTAAACATGTTGCGTCATAGTATTTTTAATTTTTTTAAAATGGAACATCTTGCGAAATTACATGTTTCTATAAATAGTTACTTCCTTTGTTTTTAGCTCATAAAAATGCTAGAGATTTATTTCAAATTTAGTCTTGAATCTGTAGAATTAGATTTTTCTTTATTTACTAGTGTTTTGATCAAGTAAACTCATACATTTTAATTAAATTTAACAGTCTGGAATTAAATGAATGGGACAGTAAGTAATTTCGGTTAATGGGACAGTTCGGTAATTTTGGTTCGAATTATAAAGATTGTTATTGTGTTTCTTAAAATTTTGAAATTATTTTATTTTTTAAAAAAAAAAGTTGTCGTAAGAAAAATAAAAAAAATAATAAACATAACAAAGACATAGCTGGAAAATTAAAATTATTTATAATTAATGATTGCTATGTTTTACAAATAGATTTTTTTAATAATTCATAAATTAATTGTGTTTAATTATTTTTTATTGAAACAATCAGTAGCAGTACCATTTTTTACATGAAATTATTTTTTAATAATCCCTTAAGGTTAAATAATAGGTTCGACATAATATGTTGTATACTAAGTAGATGTAATATGTTGTATAATATGTTGTACATATGTTGTATAATATGTTGTATAATATGTTGTACATATGTTGTATAATATGTTGTATATATGTTGATATAATATGTTGTCTTTTTCCTTTTTTGCGTTGTTTGTAAAAGTAGAATATGTAGAAATGTACGTGTAGAATATATTTACAAGAAAATTAAAATAATAATAACGCACAACAAAGCAACTATAACCACTTTGCTATAACCACTTTAATTTTAACTGAAATATTGCATGCTTCTTGCTTTGTTGCACTGTAGTTCTTCACAATTTATAGCCTAATCTTTTTTTCTCGTCACTGCGTAAGAAGGAAACCAAAAACTGGCTCACTAATACGTTGAGCCACCCTAATGCAGATTTATACTCATTTATTCATTTCATATTCTTACGTTCATCAAAGTAGTAAACTGGCTTGAAAACACATTGCTTATTTGTTGATATTTATGGTTAGCAAGTTGTTTCAATGATTTTACTCTAAAACAAACACACCTTATAGTGTTTGTAGCATGCTTTGAGTCTGTGAAATAAGGAAAATAGCTAACACGTGTGTTGCCACATAGTCTTCCTTAATCTTCCAGAATGTGATAAAAATAATTTTTATTAAACGTACCGTGTAAGTTATGATGCAGCATTCGATGGAGCAAAATGACTTGGCATGCCTGTAGCAAAAGTTTTCGATGATAAAAATTGCTTATGTTGGACCATGACTGTTTACCGAATTGCAATACGGCTACCAGTGACATTAATAATTTTTTTGATAGTCTTTAAGAGTTCTGGAAATGGCAATGGAAAGCCATCAGAACCATGGCTGACAAAAATATGAACTCAAACTATCACCTAAATATTTGTTTAGTAGAAAGCAGCTTGAAGCAAAGAATCTTAAAGCAAAAACATATCAAAAACATTTACTCTGATGGCTTTAACTCCTAGAAATCTCAATAGAAGTAATGTATCAACTCAAGAAGATTCTGTTTCAAAACCTTTTATTTATATATTTATTCATTTACTCATAAAATTATTTTTCAGATGAACAGGATCAATTTATTTAATGTGAAGAAACTATGTTAAAAAAATTCAATAAAACTAAAATAAATTTTGTTGGAATTCATAAAAATTTTGCGGCTTGAAGCAAAGAATCTTAAAGCTAAAACATATCGAAAACATTTACTCGCATGGCTTTAATTCCTAGAAATCTCAATAGAAACAATGTATCAACTTAAAAAGATTCTGTTTTAAAACCTTTTATTTATATATTTATTCATTTACTCATAAAATTATTTTTCTGATGAACAGGATCAATTTATTTAATGTGAAGAAAACCGGATGAAAAATATTCAATGAAACTAAAATAGATTTTGTTGGAATTCATATAAATTTTACTACCTGCGGGAATGATGCGAGATACACATGGTTCCTTTTGTTCTCCAACCGAGTTTTTTCCCCAACAGAGAATAGCACCAAATTCGAGCATTGCTTTAGGAGTATAAGTTAACACACTTCTAGTTTTTTTCGAAGTGAAATTGTACAGTTCGACATTCTCTACGGAGTTGTTGAGTGCCCAGTTAAATGTTACATCATCGGGGTCGGAGTCCACTTCGCATGTAATATTTACAGTTTCTCCCCTTGTAACACCATATAAAGCTTTCAGGCTAGTGGAACAGCTGGGGGCATCTATAATGAGAAAAAATATTAATTTGCTAATTTTAATTATCATTTTTAATACTTCTTCAGCAATAAAAGAATTTTATTTACGTTCACCTTTAATTTTGATAGTACCAAAATAAATAAATCATTATCGTTATAATAACTTCCTAATAAAGCAAAACACGTTTTGTTATCTGACGTTATGTCATCAGATGTTATGCCATCAGCTTAAGCAATACATGTTTTAAGAAGTTAATCCTTTCAAAATAAAGATTAGTTATATTCACTATCAATTTCCATTATGATATTGCTCTAGGTCCTGTATATGTCCCCTTATATGTGAAACCTGTTTCAATTGAGGTATTTTGGTACCAATATTAATATAATTAGTACCTATTAAAAATATAAAATAACATAACAGCAATAATATGAATTGCCAAAATTAATTAAGCATCATTGGTACTCTTTACGAACCGTTCATGATACATACTACATGAATATGTACATTTTCTCAACAAATTTACTATTCTAATATACTTTTTTTATTTCTATTCGTACTAATTGTACTTCTCGAAAATAATTAGTAGTGACACAAATATTTTAATAGTCATTTTTAGCGAATGTACTAATATCTGTTCTGATTTCAAAGGTCATAAGAATCACAGAACTATTTGTGAAGCCCGAAATGCTTAATTAAATGTGGTATTAAATACTTCTAGTCTACTTATATTGTTGTGAAGAGTACTGTAGTAATGAGAGCATTATAAAGGTACTGCGATAATGTTTTTTTTACCCCCAACCGAAACGAAAAGTACGCTAATATGACCATCGTCCACATCTATGACATATTTTATTTTATTTTATTTTATTTTATTTTATTTTATTTTATTTTATTTTATTTTCTGTTTAGATTTCCAGCGGCACCAAATTTTTAGATTTAACATAATCTGAGATAGAAGTTTTGCTCACTGAAAGAAATTTAGCTCATTTAGAAGTTAGAAGAAAGAATTTAGAAGTTTAGCTCACTGACATATAGTATCATTTAAAATGTGGTATTTAAAATTTTCCAGAATTTTCCCACAGCTTAACAAATAACTTCAATTTTATTTCATTAGTTCCTGTTGAGTTTTTCCACGAATTAAATTTAAAGAAACATGCTTCAAAAATGTAAGTATAAATATATGCGACACATGGTTTCCTATACAGTTTGAAATGGCGACGCCATTTACATACGTTGCGAAATTATTAATGAGGATTTTACTTTTGTCAACCTAACATAACCTAAGAAGTTTCAGAAAGACTTAGATAAAATTAATTAAAAAAAACGTGTGAGAGAAATAATTTTTTATTGATTAGAGCTGCAAGCTAGAAAATCACTCATATTGCAAAATATTTATCAAATACAATGGAAAAATCTTTCTTTGGTATAGAGTGTGCAAACTGCATGTTGGAGAAAGTTTCAAATTAGACAGATCTGCCGTGTCTTTGAACGTATTTGCATTTAATTTGGTGCGAATCAGTTCTGTATTACGGATTTGTATAAGATACAGACATTTAAACATCCTGCTTTACTTATACGTCTTTCAGTTCATTAAGAATATTAAATATTTTTATCCAATCAATAATGATAGTTTGACGTTACAAAATATTTTTCCGTTTAGTTTTCCACAAAAAGCATTGATTACACTAAATGTTTGGATTTTCCATAGCTTACAAAACACACTATTTAAGATTTAGTTATGCTTAAGCAACATTAATGAATGTTAGTTTTTAAAGTTAAGACTTTTTCTTTGAGTCACTACAGTCTATTTTAACGGACTAAAACTATGTTTTTCAAGTGCTTATATTGTTTTCATGACGATAAACTCACGTACAAGAAAGATGAAGGATGCAGCAACCAATTTCGCAATAATTTTTTAACCAAAAAAACTCTAATATTTTATTTTTTTAGTTTTTAGAATTGTTTTATATTATTTCTTATATTTTTCACGTTTCCAAAGATTCCCCTTAAACCCGAGAAATAATAAAAAAAATACTGTCTAGAATAGTGCTCTCTAATGCAGTTATCTTTCTGCTTATTGCCCTTATCTGTAAGGAGTCCTTATCTATTATGGGCACCATAGCCCCCGCTCATCATTTTACATAAGCCCACCACCGTATGATGTAAATTTATTTCTGTTTTCAATAAAAACACTTTATAAAAATTTATAATTCAACTATAAACTCCTTTTAAATGAATGGTGCTCACAGTTCTACCAGTATTTTAAAATACATTCGTTGGTACAAAAGGTGACCTTTCGAACTCATTTATAGCATTATATAAAAAAGACTCTTTTTATCGTTAAATCCGAAATCTCATTAAATGTAGGATCGTTAAAAGTGAGTTCTAGCGTGTAACAAAACTCTTTTCAGTTATTACAAAGAATTTATACTTCTCGGCAGAAACAAAAATACAACTTAATAGTGTGATCTCAAATGATGCGCTTTGAGAATATTATTTTTTCTTATTGTTTAACTTGTCATATCCAAGTTCCGTTTTCGCCTCGAGTGGTTTACCATAAAAACACAAAAGGAACTTACAGCGCACTTCTAATAATAGCTCTAAGCTCCGTCCTTGGCCTTCAGTATTAGAAGCAGTACACTTGTAGCGCCCTCTATGCTCTTTTCGAACTTTTTGCAACACTAAGGATTGATTCGAAATGATTACTCCAGCCGACGTGTTGCCATAAAAAGGTACTCCTTCGAAAAACCAAATTAGTTCTGAAATGGGTGGATTGGCTTTGATCACACATTCCAAATACACATCATTCCCTTCTTTGATTGTTGAATATTTTATGTTTGCACCAAGTTGCAAAGAAACTTCTGGAGGAACTACAGAAACAAAGAGAATCTATAATGAGTTCTCTGGAGAATATATAATGACAATATTTAAAATTTACATAAAAGAGCCATGGAGATATTTTAAAAATGCGATTTGAAAAATCAGAATTAGATATCTTTAATTTAAATTAACGTTTGACTTTGTCATTTAATCGATAGGCTGCTAAGAGCTTGATGTTTTTGCATTAATTCGAGTAGAGTTAAGCAAAATGTTGTTTCCTTCTGGGAATAGTAAATTGTATTAGTTGATTCAGCAAATTTTGAATTTATTTTTTAAAAAAACGATATGTTGGTCGTGTTATCGCATTGGAGACTACTTTGTTCTAAGAATGTCTGTCAGAAGTGTCATAATAGTCTGTGTCAGAATAAGTAGAAGGACAGTTTTATTGTATAACGTTTGCTTTCAGAAAATAATTGTGGATGAAATCTGGCAAGCTGGAATGTAAGAAAGAAATACACAATTAATTTATTTTCAGATACTTAAAGTACACTTTTTATTTAATGTATATAAACATAAATGTCAATGTTTCTTAAAAAATATATGCCATTATCTTTATCCTATAAATACTCTACTATGGGGATCGAAAAATATATCTCTAAATATATGTGTTAATGTAGAAAGAAAGTTTCTAAAATAGTGCAACAATTTCTTTTTCTAAATAAAGGAAAAAGTACTATTTCTTTCTTTCCGTATTTATTTTTGTCTCTCCCCAAGTTCAATACCAATTGGTTTCCAATAACAGCTCATAAAATTTAGCAAGATCATTTAGAAAGACGAGATCATTTAGAAAGAAAGAAGATTTTGCATTACGACATTTAGAGTATAGCAAAACGCTGAGAAAAAATTTTTAAAAATTTGAAAGTTCCCTAATATAATGTTTTGAACATTTTCTTGAACATAACTTAAGATAGTTGAAGTTTAAAATAGATAAAATTTTAAACCAAATAAAAAGTTTAAAAAGAATTTGAAATATATATATANTATATATATATAAAACAAAATTAAAAATTACTGATATGAAGTATAAATTTTAGACTGAAAAGACTTTATTTATCATTTTTATTTAATTTCGACATGATTGATTTTTGACAGCATTTTATCTACTGATAAAATTTAAGAAAATAATAGTGCAGAACACTACTAAACTTCACCGCCAAAAATTTTTGATTTAAATGACACTTATCAAATCCTGGTTAATACACATTTATGTACGTTATCAGAAAAATATTCGTTTTGATTTTACAAATATCTGAGAAATCTTTATAAAAAAAAAAGTTAAAAATTGAAAGGGTTAGAAATATTTCGCATATTATTTTAAAACTATCCGTACGTCATTGAAAATTAATTTTTCTTCTCCTGGTAATACTTACAATGCTAATTTCTGGGAAATACTTACAATGTACACCAAAATCAAATTTAAAAATGATTTAATTTCGTTAAATTTTCATTTATATTCAAATTAAAAAATGACCGTTGATTGCTTTAATAATAAGAAAAGCCGTATAATATTTGCTTATATCACAAATTTAATTTCTTCCGAAATTGATTAAAAATTAAATTATTTTAAGCATAAACTAAATGCGAACTGTAAAAAAATATTCCATGAATTAATGCTAGTGATGCAATCAGTTTTTATACTTTTAAATAATGATGTACATAACTCGTATTAATTAATTAGTTCAGTAATCAGAAGAATTTGTTATCTAATTCAATAAAGCGATACGTACAATGCATATTAAGAGTCCAGGTATCCTGCATTTCAGTGTGATTTAATGAGGGATTTTCTGCTCTGCAAGTCACTGTTTTTCCGTTATCTTCGTTCTTTGGACTAAGATTGATGCTGCCATATGTAATATTTCTATTGGTAAAAAAGGATTGCTTGCTGTTTTGAATAAGTTTGTTCTCCACCAACCAAAGAAGTTTCGCAGCTGGCCGGGAACCCGATGTCTCACAGTCAAGTCTTAAGTCATCTCCAGCTTTTAAAGGTTTTGGAGGAGTTGTTATTCGAACATATAAAGGTTTCACTGAAATAAAAATAATTATATTGAATGATAAAATGATCTATTAATCAAAAACATTATTTTGTCATGTAAACCTGAATGTTAAATAAATTGCAATTTCTTTTTAAGCTGAAAAGAGTTTAATTACATCACTGAAATCAATTAAACTTTCTATATCTCTCAGCAATAAAACTGATTCTTTTAAACATTATGCAACAAATAAATATATATTATTTTCTATATACATTAAAAAATTGCTAGAAACACCAACACTGTTTTGGGTGTTCAATTTATAAAATTAAATCATCGACAGATTGATTTTAAAATTTATATCGACATAAACACAATGGTAAATTTATAGAAATAGAATGCTGTTGTAGTAAATATATCAATATATTGCAACAGAATTGACAAAAAATATGCTACTGTTGTAGTATATTGATATATTTAAAAACTTAAAATCTGTTTTTCAATTCTAGAGAGATAAAAATAAATTACGAGAGATAAAAGCCTATGATAAAAATCCTGTCAACGAAAAAAATTACTTCGTATTAATTCCGCGTATTCTGTATTCCAAGGTTTAATTTTTTTCTCTACTACAGTTTAATAACCATTCATCTATGTATGATTATAAACAAATTGTTGTCACATAAATTATAACAATAATTATGTATTTCTGAACAAAATTTTCGTTGTTTTTGTCAAAAATAGCTACTTTATGAAATATGATGAACGCGAACAATAAAAAATTTTGTGACCATAATAATACTATCTTAATATTCAAAGAAAATAGAAAATTACTTAATTTTAAAAATCAAAAATCTGTGGCATAAATTTATATTTGTTGAGAAAAAGTATAATCCAAATTTATTATTTGAAAAACCTGTTTTCCTCCATCCGAATATAATAATTTTATGCTTGATATCTTCATTATGTCAGTAGAATATTAATTTAATTTATTAAAAAAATATTAAATTTTTTTTTATTAAATCTGTTTTTTAAGGCTTTTTTTAAATAAAACAATGTGTTACACTAGTTTTTAAATTGCATACAAAGAATTTTTAAATCTTGTTATTTATTATTAAATAGAAAAATCCTAAAATTCAGGGTTCAATATTCGTATGATCTTCGCAATTAATCCACACGAAAATTTTAGTTTGCTCCTAATATCCGGAGAAAAAAAACATCCAATATCATGAGAAAAGTATATTTATTCAGGCAAGATGTTTTGTTTTTGATTACCTAATCTAATTAGTTGCTACCCCGTTTCTAAATATAAATTAAGTTCACTTTCCTAAACCTAAATATTACATCTACATTTGAGATACATCGTACAATAGTTGAAAAGGTATTTAGGTATTTTCTTAATTTTACCCAATACATAAAAATGACGTAATTACATTTGGATTATGAATTAATTAATCCATAAGTCTTTAATACAAATATTACTTGTCTTACAAGCATTTTCCAAATATATATTTTTATTCGTGACTTTTTAAAGGCAACATAATAATACAGTATTTCAATATATGAAAAAATTTTTTAGGGAAAATAATTCTAAAAACTATGTACATATGTATGAAAGCTATTTTTTACTAAGCAATCTGTTAAATCTGATCATAAATTGCGTGTAGAGAATTTCTATTCTTGTTATTTATTAAGTAAGAAACACCCAATACTCAGTGCTTCAATATTACTCTTATCTCCGTGATTTATCTATCCAAAGATTCTAGAGGGAAAAAAGAATCCAAAATCATCATAAAACATATTTATTCAGGAAAGATATTTTGTTTATGATATCTTACTTAATTAGTTGTTACCCTTGTTTCCAAATATACATTAAGTGCGCTTCCCTAAACATAAATATTAAATCTTACTGTAAGATACATCGTACAGTAGTTGAAAAGGTATTCAGATTTTCATAATTTTACTCAATACATAGAAATGACGTAATTATGTTTGGATTATGAATTAATTAATCTATAAGTCGTACCAACAAATCTTACGTGATTAACAAATGATTTCGAAATATTTTTACCCTTCAGGGATTTTTTTCAGAGGTAATAACAAAATTAATTCTTAACGCTAATCTTTATGAATCTTTTTTTCTTTATTGATACTCGACGTTAATTTAATATTCTCGTTACTAATAAAATTAAATATTACGAAACAAAAACAAAGTTTACTCGCATTATCTCCGTCCGTGGATATTAGTGAAATAAATCTGTTATTTTGTCCTCCAAATATACTCATGCAACAAAGTTTTAATTAAATTTTGTTTAGCGTAATCTTTATCATTTCATTTTCGGAACATTAACAGAATTACTATTTATAATCTCCTCTTTGAGGAAAAAAATAATTTACTTCCACAGATTTAAATATGAGGAAGTAGGAGATTAAAAGGATAAGGGTAACTCTTACTTTCCCGAAATTAGAAAAGGCAAGAATACATTTATCACTAAATATAAAAAAAAAAAAATTAACTTTTCTGATACATTTATCTCCTTATCTTAGAGTTATTTAAATGGGAAGAAATTGCATCCCATTCTTCAAAAGGCCTGAATAAATATTATATGTCATTATTAGGGAATATGATAAGAAGTTATGTTACATTGAAATTAAGATTGCTGCATTTATTTAATTATTGTAAACAAACAACTGCAATTTGTTAATAAGTTTAGAAGAATAATATTTTTCCAGATATTTACCGGTGAGCTTACTTACAGTCATTAACTCTATTTCAATAAAAGTAAGTGTTTGAAATCAGGATGGAAGATGGCTTTCAAATTTCTCAAATAACACCAAATGATAACCCGACCGGCTTGCGTAAGGGACAGAGAAGTGGCCTTGCATCAGAAAGGTTCTGGGTTCGAATCCAGGACAAGGCATGGATGTTCTTTCATGCTCTGTACTATCTGTTCCTACTGTGAGAGCAACATTAGCCCACCTAATATGGTGCCCCTGAAAGAGTGGCCAACAAATCTGCCGCTTAGATACCTGTATGACGAAATGTCATTTCCTAGGTGGACATTAAAAAAGCACACCAGATGACAAAAATATTGCTGATTAAAGAGCTCGTATAAGTTATTCATTGCTCCTTAGATCAATTAAAAAAATATACAGAGGATAGTTAAAAGAACTTAGTAATTTAGTAAAAACTGCTCAGTATTTTTGTCGATTGGTATAATTAGTTTAAGAAAGGAAACTCACAAACTCTTTTGAAAAATATTTCCTTCTTTAAGAAAGGAAAATTGGTCCGAGATACAACATGGAGTTACCTAATGCATAGCATATTGCATAGCATAGATAGCAAAATGATTTATGCTATCTGTTGTAGCATAGATCATTTTGAATGCCATTTATTTTGAATTCGTGTCCTCTAGTTGCCTAATATTAAATACTCCTATAATTGAATGCATTTAATAAAGTTTCTTTATAGAATGCATTAGCTGAAGTAAAGTTAATGATTCAGAAACACATAAGCAAATCATATTTTATTTAAATTTATTATGATAAAATGAGAGTTTTTCTGGGTACGTGTTCCCTTTATAATTTCAGAACCATTCAAGTCGTCCCGACTTGAATGGTTCAACACTATAGACTTGACTATAGACTTCTTTTGTCTGATCTAATAACGTAAAGCCACCAGGAAGGACAGCAAATAATAATAAATAAAAAAATGCATTTTCAACTTTATCTATAGTATCAGTATATGCCCTCCACTCTTCTGCCTAATTTCACAATGTAGATAAATACCGGTTTAGTGATTTTTTTAACTCCTTGCGAAGAACAGGCTTTCAGTTAATACTTTATGCATGAATGAAATTTACCGTACTGTACGGCGATTGCACTATAGGTAAAAGGAAAAAAAACATAATTTTGGTAATAAGACCAAAAGCATACGGTATTTAAGCTTTTCATTTGGTAGTGTTTTTCATATGACAACGGTTTACCAAAAAATCTGGATTTCAAAATTGTTCAAAGTTGTTAGATTTCAAGGTTTTTATTCCCACACATTTAGTAAAAAATACAAAAGGGAAAAGATAATTTAACTGAAAATATGTTTTTCACACACACATTTCATTTTATTTATTATTATTATTATTATTATTATTATTTCTTATTATTTATTGTAATTATATAAAAAATCTTAAAATACTGAGATGCGTAATAATAGCTATACTATATAATATTACTATAATATTCTTATAGTCTTTTTACGTAATTAATAATTTCTTATAATTTTTGTAAGATAATGAAAACAAAAAAAATTCTACTATTATTATTGTTTAAATAGAAAACATAAAACTTAGACATGGTCGAACATTGATCAATAACGAATATGACATTTGCTCACAGACATAGATTTTGAATACGCGAAAAACGCATTCAAAAAGAAGAAGAAATGCTTTTTCAAAGTAAAACTCAACATGCAATTCAAAATTTCCAATTCTAAAAACTTCCATTTCCATTTACCTTAGCTTGAAAATAATAATGCATGCTCTTTAGTAATAATAACTTTTATAAATAAAAAGAATATCTCTTCCCAGTTGTAAATTAGTGTTTCTTTATTTGCACTTACTGTTAAGATCGATCCGGATCGAAGCACTCAGGGGATCTGTTAGATTGGTGTTTGACGCTTGACAAGAAAGTTCAACCATGAAATCGGATCGTCTAAAGGCTTCTAACTCCAACTCATTCCTCACGAAACCTTTTGACGTTCGAAAATATGTATCATCAATCATATTTCCATTTTTCCACCATGTCACTAATGGCGCTGGATTTCCTAAAATGAAGATTTTTTTTAAAAATTAAAATATTCAAATTATTTACCTAATGTTGCACTTTAAATCCTATTTAAAGATGCTTATTGCGTGTAATACACTACTAAATTTGAATTTTCTTTTTAAAACTGTATTTGCGCACGGAGAAACATATTCTGGCAAAATTACCATACTGTATGCTAATGACATTTCTGGGGGAAAAAGGTGAAAATTCTAGTAAAAAAAACAAAAATATGCGGTATTTAAACCATCTACATGGAAACTTGTTCTTTCATATGATAACGGCTTAACAGATAATATATGAGCTATGATTGTTTTAAAAGTTGCAACGATATTTATACCTTTCTTAACAAAAAGACTCATAATAGGAAACTTGTGTTAGTGTAGGGGAGAGTGGTCTAAAGCGGGAAGGTCAACAATAAACTCTCAAAAGTTGTAGTTTTTGGGCTTTTATCGCAGCGTTTTTGATTTTATTTCTTAAGAGAGATCTTGAACTTTAAAAAAATGATTATTTGCGTTATTTTAAATTTTATGATTATTTATTATCAAAAATGAAAAACACTGAAAAAACCCGCTTTGCCCTACAAGAGGCAAAGCGGGTTTTGGGGGGAGACTATGCCGTTCGGGCATAGCGGGTAAGCATCACGGATTTTGCAAATACAAGCGCATATTAATTTTCTTAAAGATTAATAATGATACCTTAATCACACGTATAATAAACGTTAAAAATAACACTTAAATAACAATTTTAGACTTATTTTATCAGTCTCAAATTATGATTTGTTATTCTTGACATAGTTTGCAAAAATAAGACTCTCTTCCTGAATAAGTTGTGCAAGCTTCATGAGCCCAGTCTTTACAATCTCCACATTCAATCCAATCTTCCAGCGGTGGGTCCTCATAAGGCCCCCCACAAACAAGACAAAAATGCTTTTTTAAAATTTTTTTCTGAAGCTCTTTGTTTTTTTTAGCTTTACCTGGTTTACTTGTCGAAGGAAGATTTTTTTTAATTTTTTTGAACAACAGCATTGCCTCTTTTCTTCCTTTTCTATTTGCATATTTTTAAATGGTGATCTTGTTAAGACTTCAGCTTCTGAGTTTTACGTTTACGACTAGTTTTGTTCGGAGTAGGTTTTGGTAGCGGTCTAATATCCAAAGGCTTCACATGAGGTGTCAATGGCTCTTCTACTGGTTGAAATGAATTGTCACTAGTTGTCGTAGAGCATGAAGGATCATCCTCAACAGCTGGATCATACGAAGTTTTCCGTTTGTTCGTCGTAGCGAAATCCTTGAAGCTTGAGAGTAATTGTGATCCACGTTTTCAAATACAGATGTAGAAGTAGAGCAATCAGAATTGTTAGAAAGACGACTAGCATCAGTAGATTGGATCTGCGATGGGCTATCGTTGGTGTTTTCAATAACTTCAGCCCTGTCTGTCAGATTAGCTGGCAAAAAGTCATCATCACTAAATATGTGTCGGTTCGTGGGCCATATTCCTGAGGATTTAAATCCTTGAACAGCAGTTTGTGCACTAGCTGCTTTTGAATATGCTTTTCCAACAAGTGAAGCTACGTCGTACTGAGTAATTATTCTACCTACATGGCTTCGTTGAAAAGTAGAAACTTCTTGTTCAAAGTAAGTTTTGAATGGTCCATAAACGCAACGGTCCAGAGGTTGCATGTGATGAGTTGTATGAGGAGGCAGCAATACAAAAATTACATTATTTTTTCTAGCATAATCAAGGGCCTCAATATATTTTTGAGATTCATATATATTTGTGAGATTCAATATATTTGTGAGATTCATATACCCGCTTTGCGGATAGGGCAAAGCGGGTATCTACCCGTTTTGCCCGACCCGCTTTGCCCAAAAGCATATCTTTTACTAAAAAAATTATAACCTTAAATAAAAAAAAAAATTTAAAGTTGAACATCGCAGTTTATAGGGGAATAGTGCTCGAATAATATAATAATATTGACAATAGAAAAAATAAGCCGGTATTCGACTAGCCACAAGTTACATACCTTGAGTTTTTATAATAAACTTATTAATTTTTTTATTTTGTGCTTGGTTATACCATGTCGCTTTACTTCTGCTCCGCTGGGACTGATTGAAACTCGTGAGTATTCGGGTAATCACGGCATACTTAGATATCGGCGCATGCACGCCATGGGCCGGGATACGAATACCTACCCGCTTTAGGCGACCTACCCGCTTTAGGCTACCCTCCCCTATGCGCAAAGATATAAAGCTTTTGCGGAATACAGAATAAACAATAAAATGGAATGAATAATAGAAGGCCTATTAGAACGTAATATGTTCGAAGTTTCTTTTGAATTTGTATGAAGTCTAGTTCTCGTATTTGCATTATTTTGGTTTGCTCTAGGTTGATTAAGACAAAAATAATATGCTATGTGCTTTTCTTATGACCAAAAATATCATGCACGCAGTTAATTTAATACAAAATTATTTCCGTCATTTTTAGCAAATTTAATTAGTTTTTACCTTATCTGATTGCAGAATTTACAACGTGTTTTAGTTTCATTTGACTCTGGGATGTTTTTGTTGCATAAAAATAAAGCTAAGAATGCTTACTTATATTCACAAGTGGAAGATTTGATATGATAAACCAAGGAATTGAAAGTTACGTATAAAGCGTATGTAACTTTGAAAATAATCCTCGTTGCATATTTATGAATCCGTTAACTTGTTAAAAAAATGAAATAGCCCGCGTCCTTTAACTAATCAAATACAAATTTGGTTCGTTTTCAATCACGTATACATGTTTAAATTAATTAAACATGATTAAAAAATTAAACTGAAATGAAATAAAAATAAAAATCATTTGAAAATAATGCATACAAACATATTTGTTCGAACTACGAAAGTATTGCATTTCCATGATTACAAAGAGTTTTAATTGGAGTTAAATAAAATTTCTTAAATCACACTGTGAAAGATCCCGTATCAAATTATGGTACATTCTGGGTCAATTTACAAATTTTACAGTAAAAAATACCGGAACTCAGAGTTTCGGTACTTTTACCGTATTTTGGGTGCATTATCTGTAAAATCCATTTTACCCTCAAATCTATTTTTACCGGAACATATTACGAAACAAAATCTGATTTACCGTAATTTTTTCAGCAATAATTAATGGAAAGTTCCTCTTTTTAAATAAATCCCTCTATTTAGATAAATATAACTGTAGAAATTTCGGTATAATATTTTACGATAAAGTGGATTTTACAGATGAAATACCCAAAATGCCGGACTTAATGCCGGAATTTTTAATAATGCATTAGTGAAATGTTTTCGGTAGAAAGAGGTCTTAAAAATGCATATAAAACAAAAAACATTCTTTCTCCGTGCACAATAAGTAGTAAAAAAAAAATCAAATTTAATCATAAAAACTCTTATTTCTCCCAATAACAACAGGGATGCGCGATATCATCTAATAATATTTGTTTTCAAAAAATAAGCACACAGCGTGAATAAAGAAAAAGAAAAGGAGTAAAATACATAGATCACAATGGCACATAGCCAATACGGTAGATTACCTCCTTCGGCCTCACAGAGCAAAGATAGACGTGAACCTTCATCGTATGGTCCAGCTAATCTTTTTAGTTTCTGACCTTTGTCATCCATTATCACCACAGCTTGAGGAGGAACTATTTGATGGAATAAATGCTTAGATAAATTCAGTCGTTTTAGATTGCATTGTATGAAATATCATAATAATTACAATTTCGCTAAACACATACTAGACTTAGGCAAGTGTTCTAACAATGACTATTCAAAATCATAACAAATTCAATTCAATTATAAAGAAAAACATTATATAAAAGATAACAATATTAAAATTTCCGAAATAAAAATTATTACAATATTTTCCGAAGTAAGTATTACACATTGCACTTAAATATAAAACTAAAATAATAGTTCTTTTTCATTTTATTTTTAATTTTAACAAGGAAACACAGATAAAACTAGTTTAGTTACAGTGGCGTGCAATGAGAAAAACAGGAAAGGCATTGCAAAACAAAGACAATTAAACATATTTTGTCAAAAATAGTAAAAGTTATAATAAAAATATCACGATTATGAAGGTTGAAAAAAAAACTGGATCAAGTAATAGAAAAAAGTACAGGCATACAGGGTGCTAGTACCTTTTACCGTGAAATCCATATTTCCAGTAAGGTTTTACGGAGTAAACATTTAGATATAACATAATTTTTCAAGTAATATTTACTGTGTAATCACTAAATCGTCATTAAATATTACTGTCAAAACTACTGCATAAAATTTTGAATTTTACTGTTCAATAGATTTTACGGATACAGTACTCCGATCCTGAATATTACATGCAAAGACGATATCTTTATATTGTTTAAGCAATTAGTTGTCCCGTTAAGCTACTTGAACTATAAGAAAAATATATATGAAGAGGGTTATTTACAGAATCGTCCTCATATAATACAAAATATATAAATAGTACTGTAAAAAACTTAATTACATTATTTTAATTTTAAATCTCTTTCGAAAAGAAAATTTACCTACAACAGATTTTTTTTAAAGAAGAGAAAAAATATTTATGTGGAATAATTAAAAAAAATATTATAATAAAATGATTTTTCCTAAATTACGAAAAACAATCAATTTTCAAATTAAGTATTGCTTATGAAGTTTCAGGACACCATTTGTTAAAAAGTAAGAAAATACTTTTTATTTTTTTCGTTATATTTTAGAAATAAATTATACCAAAATAAACGCAAAACTTCAAAATGATATTTAAATTTTTTTTAATGCATTAATAATATTTGGGCCATCCAGTTACACTGTAAAGAATTTCTTATTGATCCATCAGTCGCCTCATCCATAAAAATATTTTTACCATAAAATCCGATTTGGCCGTAAAATTGCATATTTTACCTTTCATAGAAATATTTATAATTGCTGTATATCATATAAAGTATTTCACGGCAGAAATGGATTTAACGATAAAAAACCACCGGCATCCTGAATGTCACTGCTTTGTAATTTAAATAGTAACTTCTTACAGCTTACTATGCGCAACAACCATATTTGGCTATTATCCTTCAATAAATTAAAACTTTCTATATTTAAAATAAAATCCATACTTCAAATAAAACCCGTTCTTGAAATAAAATTGCAAACATTTTTTTTCCTTTTTGGGTTGTTTTCAAATCTTTAAAATTTATTTTTTTATTAACTCTCTTAAATTTAATTGCCTATTATTTTAGATTTTAAAAGAAAAAAACAAAATTGTTGGAGAAAAAAAATTTAGTGAGCAAAAATGCGAAGTTAAACATAACTTGAAGTATTATTTATTGTAAATATGTATTATTAGTGAATTTTACGCATGGTTGAGCAATTAGCTATACTCAAAAACCAATCATCAGTAGAAAAAAAATAGTTAACTCATTCATGATAATATTTTAATCGAAAATCATATACATTTTATTAAAATACGCGTATCCAAGGAATTCGGAGCAAGACCAAACTTAGATATACTTAAAAACCAAGTATCAACAGTAAAAATAGTTAACACATTTATTTCATCGGAAATCAAATATTGGAATGTATTCAAAGTATTTAATTTCAAACATATTTATTTGGATCAATGTCAAAAGAATCAACCGAAAAAAAAAATCTATAAATATATAACATTAGTTGCCACATTTTGTTGCAAGGGGGCAAAAATATATAACATCCGTCAGGGAGAAGAAACCAGCCCTTTTCCGGTGAGATTTGTATCCCCGCTACGAATACTGACATCAAAGATGGATAACATTCTTAAGAGATTTGTGAGGGTGGTTTTTTGAAAGAAAAAAAGATTTATAGTGAAAGGGGTTTTGTGCATGATTTTTCAAAGATTTTCTAGAACATGTATGTGAAAAAAATTATAACTGAAGTTTATTTTTCGATAGTTCAAAGAGGGATTTTTCTTTTTTCGATGACTGGTCAATAGTAAAGAAAAAATATTGTCCATTGTAAAGGCAAAATAAACTTTGAGTATAAAGATATGCTATTCACAATTTTACTGTATTTTTTTTTTATGAAAAATGTGCTTACCTAATTGCCAAATTTGTTAGTTGTGGTGTTTTGAAAATTCAAAGTTTTTTTATATCGGCTTATATATTTTTCGTGAAAAATGGGGAGTTAAAAACAACAAAAGATTTGATTATTCACTTACAAAAAAATTTAGGGGATTTAACTGATCTGTTAAATAAATGATATGTACTTAAGTTTTTGGGGTTTGAGTGCAATAAGTATAAATCGGGTGTCATCAATCAAAATAAATACTAATAGCTTAATACATAACGCTTTAAAACGTAAATAATACGAAACAAAAAACCCTTTTCTCTTCCGTTTGAGCTCTTTTTTTATAACTTTTTGATTGCATAAAAATGTAAGCAAATATAAAATGAAAAAAATAAAAAAGTCATCTAATAACATGCCAGCACCTTCGAAATATACGTGTATGAGTTATAATCAAATAGTGTGATGTACTTCATCACTTTTAGTTTATTTTCTATTTTTTTGCTATTAACCATGCGTTTTCTTTTATAAATACTGTTTTAAGTCTATTTAGTGTGCTTATATGTTTCTTCTTTAAATATATTTTAATTCTGAATTGTTTGCCTCAATCACCTCTATTGAATTGTGTGAACAGACGCATGCTTCCAAGCGCACAAATCATGCTGATTTTTAATACATTAATACGTTTAGAAACTAATTAAGTTTTTTCACCATCATTGAAAATAGTATGTTTTATATAAGATTTTGCAACTGCGATTCCCTGGAGTCCTCCCAAGTTCTTTTTAAGTAGTATAACGATTGAATTGAAAACTTATGAATTAGTCCCGATGTCATAGCTATCAATAGTCTTATTTGAATTTACATTAACAATACTTTTTCCATCATCTTTTAATAGTTTTCTTTCAATGCACTTTCTTAAAATTATACATAATCTAATGAGAGATTACTAATGAAAACTGTAAACAAAACAAACAATAGCAAATTGACGAACAATCAAAATAAAAAAAAATAAAAAGAAATGTATTCAGTCCATAGTATTATCCATGTAAATCTAATTTGTGACTAGCTTCCCAATATTTCTCCCAAAAAGATCCAGCCTCGAGCACATGAATCCAACTCAAAAGAAGGGCATCCATTTCCTCATCTATTCTAAACAATTTGCAAATAGGACTCAGTACCATGTTTATTAGAGACAGACATGGCAAGTAGGAAGAAAAAAAGACAGCAACTGATTTCTTTCTAGTAAGGATGTTTAAAACCCCATAAATCCCACATTTTGCAATTATTCCTTTCAATGGTATCGCCTCAAAAAGCTTTTCTAACAGAATTTTATTTCCAGTATTTCGGTAATGTTAATTGGTATACACACTTATTTGAAGTTTATTGGCTCATTTCTTTGCTAAAAAATCTGCACTACTTTTCCGATGAAGGCCAGCAGTGTAATGGTAAGCCGTGTGAGAATTACATGTCCAATATACTTTGAATACGGTTGTTTTAACCAATGTTACAATTTCTTCATGCCCTTATAGATTTGCAACTACAGTTTTTTTTTCCTTTCGAAAATTTTAAAAAGGACAATTCGTTAAGTACATTTTGAGTTTTTTTGCTTTGCGAAATTTTATTCCCGCAAGGAAATTCTTGGAATTTTTACAACTACTTCTATTTTCACAAGTTTCACTAGTATTAAGAGGAAAGAAAACTCTAGTTTTTCAACTCCGTAAATCTAAAAATAGCTATAATTTCAATTCTTTGGATAACCCTTGGAAGTTGTGAGGAAGTTTTTATTTTTATAGAACTTATAGCATTTTTTTCGATTTGGAGCTTACTTTTATTATGAACACGTCAACTTGATTCATGCAATTTTGGACCATTTTTCTTAAAAAAATATAGTTAATGTCAATAGTTAACTCTATACTTTTCATTCACTTGAAAACTAAAGTATATTAAGAAATGGTTTTAATCTCCTTGGATTTAATTATTTGTTTTTTTTTTCATCATGGCACTTGGAAATATATTATCATCTCTGTCTAAATAATTAATATCTGTATGCGAATATTTTTGCAGGGAAACAGAGGCAGTTGCTCAATTCGCATTAATAAAATAAATTTCGACAATTTCGGTTTATATGCTGAAAAATTTTTGTATGATACATTTTACTGATGATTTATGAATATGTTTACTATGTAACTTTAAATGATCGTAACAGGCATGGGGAGAAGTGTCTGCTGTTAACAGTTAGAGTTTCAAACCCACTCTTGAGGATAATTTATTTGTTGGATAATAAAAACTCTCCAAATGTGACATATTAAAGTTTTTTAATCTGCTGAGTTAAAGAATCGAAGAGTTTTTTAATTTGCATCCTCGACTCATAAATTTTTATTCTATTCTTATCAGAAAAAAAACAGTCACTATTTCTGAAGTTTTACTTTTAAGGAACTGATTATTTTAAAATTTTTGATTTTGAGCTGAAAATATACATGAATTTTGGAATTCAACATACTGATTTAGTAATTAAACCAGAATGATTTATAATTTTAACGCGCAACAAAAAACACTTTAAGTGGTCTTAGAATATTTTTAACTTTTTTTTCTATTTCTTATATGTATTGGATTTATATTTTTCTTATATATCATATAACTGTATATAGTGAATTGTGAATTTTTCTATATATGTTGAAATTAAATACCATTATTTAAATATTATTTGAAAAGCGTATTAACCATACTAGAATTTAATTCTGGTTAAATTGTTCTAACTAAATAAGCTGCAAGAAAATAATCCATTAAACAAAATTAGAATTATAAGTATAGTAATAATTTTAAAGAAATATACGGTGTAATCTTTTATTAAAGTAAATCCATATACCCTTTTACATTTTAATTAAAAATTAGCTAAACACTACTTAAATAAGTACTTCTAATTTGTTCCAATGAATGATTCAAAAGTTTTCGTTTCTTCTGGAGTTCAGAATTCTGTCCGATATTATAAAATCAGAATTCGGTCGGATATTTAATTCTGGATACAAAATACATAATAAATTTACTTTTGTAATAAAACTTGTGATGTGTAAAATTCTATTTTTAATGCTTCATGAAATTAAAAAAAAAATACTTTTAAAACTCAAATCTGAAGAAAAACTCACAAAAACAAGTAAAATAACATTTAAAATCAAATATAACACTATAAGTATATAATTTCAAAATGAGTATGAGTTTTCTTTGTTTTGGGTTTTGAACACAGCTTTAGTGAAAACCATTTTTAGAAAAAATATGGAGCAAATTAAATCTCGAAGCTTACCTATAACGATGAGCTTTAAAAATCTTGTTACAATTCTAGATCTTTTATATTCTAGTCGGCACTTGTACACCCCTTCGTCGTCCACGTGAGTAGGTTTTATTTTGAGGGTGGGAGGGTATTCTGCAGTATCAAAGTGAGCTCTACCGGTCAGCGTTTTTCCAGGAAAATGTTTTGGGTCATCAGGGAGACCTTTCCGAAAATCCAAAGTATAAATTGGAGACTTGGACGTCTCCCGATACCACAATATGAGGGATATTATTTCTGGTTCCTTTGGGATTGCAATGTTGCAAGGAAGGCGTGCTTCTTCCCCTGCGACTGCTTGAAATTCTCGCATCGGTACTGGAAAATAAAAAAAAAGACAAACTTTATTTTCCCGTTTTTCTTCATTTAGTTTGAAGAAAATGATGATGGAACTGAAATTTATTTTCGAATCAATTTAGTGTTGGTTTTTCTTTATGACTAAGAAACTTTAATGTCTTATAAATCATAAATCGTACATTAAATTACAATAAAAAAATTTGTTTTCATAGCAGCTTTTTTTTTCTGTTAAATTTCAGCTTTTAAACAAGCTTTAGTACTTATGGAATGAAATGTATGCTAAATTTTACTGCACCCCGCGTACCCATACCTAACTAGAAAATGCATGTGTATTTTTAAGAGTTTAAAAACTGAGCTAATATAATCACAACAGTGAGTAATAATCTTAAAGGCAGAGAGTATCTAAGGCAGAGAGTAATAATCTTAAATTTAGCGATACCAAAACGAAATGCATAACTTTTCCAAAAAATAGAAAAAGAATTGGCAGACAACCAATTATTAAAATGAGTCCAAATCATAAATATTCAGTTAAAAAAGTACAAGAACTTAAATATCTCGGTGTTGTACTCGACCCAGGTTTGACCTGGATCTCACATCTAAACCAGGTCAAAGAGAGAGTCAGCAACTTTAATAACTTAATTAAAAGGGTGGCCAGGGCAACTTGGGGCCTAAAACCCTCTATCCTTAAGTTGATCTACCTGCGGGCTACGGAGCGAATCATTTTATACGCCGCCAGTGTCTGGTACCACAATACTGTTAAAATCAACGAAAAACTTAAATCCATACAGAGAATCTCACTCATTAACATCACTAAGGCCTATTCTACAACCAGCACGGAGGCCCTCCAGATACTGGCGGGGGTGAAACCTATCCATCTTAAGATTTTGGAGGACACTTGCATTAAAAGACTTAAGTGGAATTGGAGACTTAACGACTTTGACTCAGAGATGCAGCAGATTCTCCTCACAGCACATATGGATGATCCACCAACTAGGATTCACCCATCAAAACTTATTTCCGTTCCCTACGGTAGATCACTCCCAACAAACAGCGGCCTTGAAATTTTTACTGATGGATCAAGGATGGAGGTTGCCGACTCCGCTACTGATACCACAGAATATAGAACTGGCTTCGGCATTGTTACTAAAATGCACGGTACTTTAATCGAGGCAACCTCCACCAGGATCTCAAACAATAGTAGTGTTTACATGGCAGAATTGGTGGCAATTAATAATGCTTTTCTCTGGCTCTCTAAAAAAGAATATCCAGACGCCACTATCTATACTGATTCGCTTTCCTCGTTGCAAGCCTTACAAAACCCAGTATCAAGCTCAAAAATTGTTGAAAACACTAAACAATTATGGCGATCCAATATACTCTGCAATTGGGTTAAAGCTCATATAGGTACTCAAGGCAACGAGGAGGCGGATCGAGCAGCTAAGAAAGCCACCGATCTCTGCCGGGTTGCCCTTGAGGTCCCAAGCTCCATCGCCCAAATTAAAACTCAGGTTAAATTATATAGCATGAAGCGCTGGGGGCTGGAATGGCGGAGTTCCGAGAAAGGGAGACAGACATTCAAATTTTTTAAAGACCCGAAATTAAATAGACTACAAGCAAACTTCTATCTCAATCAATTTTTAACAGGCCACGGAGTGTTTGGAGAACACCAATATAAATTATTCCACAAAACTCCAGAATGCAATTACTGTGGTGAATATCAATCTATTGATCACTTGTTAATAAATTGTTCTCAATTCCAGACAATCCGGGGCAATAACTTTAATAATATTGGCCAACATCAATGCTATGCTAACCTGACTTGTAGAAATATCATAAAAAAGATTATTAAACAAACTTTAGAGGATGTATTGGGGGACGGTCTTTAATGTCTCGGAACTTGTTCCTTCCAGCTTGGGTGTCTCATTTTTTTTACTATGTCTTTTATAAACTATTCTTCTTTTACTTGCTCCAATTTTATTGTTATTTACTTTTGTACTATTTAATTGGTTTTAATAGTAATGCTTTTAATTGTTTTACAATATTGTTCTCTTGTAATTTTTGCACGTTTATCTTTTAAATTGCTCTTTTAAATTATTCTTTTAATTGACACTTTTAATATATTGCTGTTTTAATGTTTATCACCTTACATGATTTTAGCTGTTCTACGCCCGCCATGTTCATGGGCTGTTGCCATGTCTGATGTGTATTTTATGTAATTTATGTTTCTACTGTTCTCTGGATATTTTTTTTTGATTTTAATAAACATTTACCCGTATGCCCTAAATAAGGGCGGGTCGGGGTAAATTCTTCCATTAAATCACAACAGTACTATAAAAGTGCAAATATTGAAATAAAAGGATAGAAGAATAGCAAGGAAATGTTTCAAGAACATAATGAAATGAAATTAGAAAGTCTTAGCGATATTTCTTCTTTTTTGCGGTTATCTGAATTTCCCATTCATTTCACACTCAATTAAAAAAAGAACATATTTTTCTTGCGACACACTTTTTCTTTGTTTTTATCATTAAAACTGACATGTTTACTCATACCCTTCAGATATGATAATAAATTTCCTTTCGTGACCTTTCAGATTAAAGTGTTACCAAGAAGTATTACAGATAGAAGCGTTCTTAACATATAAATTTGTTCTTAACGTTTTGTACGGATAAAAAATTCTGGTGAAATTATCGTATTCTATGTTAATGATATTACTTGTAAAAAAAACAATAAATAAAAAAACAACATAAATGTGGTAATTAAAAACAATATATACGGTATTCATATAATTAGTTTGGTAATTATTTCATTCCTATGGTTACGGTTTACCGGAAATTCTGGTTTTTAAAATAACAGTTCTTATTTCTGCACGTTATTAAAACTTATAAAACTGAAAAGTAAATCCAATAGAATAAATGGTTTTTATGACCTGCTTTTGATTGTTAATTTTACCAATATCCTTACCAAGGCGCTTCGGTAAAAATTGGTGAGGTTTTTGGTATTCCCATAGAGCTAGGTACATGATAAAATTTGCCATATCTAATAGTTCTGACCATACTTTTCTCAGAGCTCACTCAATGGAAAAAAAGCAAATTTTTATTTTGTCACAATATATAATTTTTTTCATAATCAAAACTAAAATATTTATTTATACTCTTTACAATCATTAATAGCTTTAATTCATGACCATCTAGATGAAAATGTTACCAGCTAACCCTGCAGATAGAACAGAGCATTTAAAAGTGTTCCAAAAGTTTATAATAGCGAATATCTTAGGGATCCAAAAATTCATCATTGTAAGACAATAATGATCCTAAATATATATATTGCTTAATTTACAGAATATAAAAAGCAAAGACGGTATATCTCATCTTGATCTGAAGAATTTTAAGCGACACTATCTGATTGAAAGTGCGAAGAGAAATATTAAAAAAAATAATAATAATAAAGGGGGATAAATTAGTTAATTTAAAAAAAAAATTTGAGAGTTATCTAATGATTTTGATTTGAATATTACGTTCTTCTTATTTGATGTACAAAAATACAGTATTAATATACTTAAAATTATATACAAAATACTTATATCTATATACTAAAACTATATAAAAAATTACGCTATATTTAAAAAAATATGTTTAATAAACATAAAATAATTTTTTCCATGCTATTTAATTCTGCTTACAGATCCTGCAATTTTAAATGCATATATTCTTTTATTTTAACTATTATTTTCATTTTAACTATTATTTTCAGATTTTTAAATTTTACAGGATACATTTTAAATTAAATAGATTTTATCAAATCTTTAATGATTAGTTGATTTACATTTTATGTACATCTAATAAAGGAGAGGATAATATTATTTTAACATAATCTAATGCCACTTGATTGTTTTTTAATTGTAATATCTAAAACATATCATGCATTGTTTTGAATCCTATATTATTTATAAAAGAAATATCATCAACACTTTTAGAAAATCAATTTTGTTATATAAAAGTATTGCTGACAGTGAATCCGAATGTATTCCATTTATTCAGTTGAATTACATAATTTCATCAATTTAAACATCATAAAAAAGGAAATTTTCCAATTTATTTAGGCAAGAGTATCATTGGTGAAAACGATATCTGAATTTTTTGTGGCACAATTAAAATTGTTCAATGACAAAACATAAATTATTATGGTTTTTATTGAAATTATAGAGTAATAAATGAATTGTAATTTATTTGTAACATGCAAGAAATAAAATTTTTAAAGAGTTACATGATATAAACTACTTAAATTACAAATAAAATTGCAATAAATTGAAATAGAATTTTTTCTTGTTTCTAAAATGTAATTGTTTCCATTATACGGTTAGTAAGGTATAAATTATATACTATAAATATATAATAAATAAAATAAACGGGAATGAATTCATTTTACTATAATTTTATATTGATCGTAAGAAGTTAAATCAGGTGTGTATACTGTAATACGCTTAATCACGTGTAATTTTCATAACAAGAAAAAATTGCTTAAGGATTAGAAACTAAAAAAAAATACAATTCAACAAAATTGGTAAATGAAATTATTAAATAAAATTGAGTTATAACAAGTAGTTTCCCCAACAACAACTTTGAATAAATTTTGTATGACTGCAGACATATTAATGATAATTATGTCCAGACATTTTTGTATATTTTAATTGGCAGTAGAATTTATAAATATCTCATAAGAAGTTGATGCTTTTATTGATGTTCAGTTTATCAATTTTAGTTTGCAGTTCTTCTTTCCCTTTCAAAATGACTTTCCTGAACATTTTATTCCATCGAGATTTTTTAGTATGTTTTTACCAAGGAAACGTTTTGGTAATAACGAAAAACACATAATATAACTATTTGCTAGAGACTATTTTATATTATGAAAACGTAGCATAAATTCACTAATAATCATGATTTAGTTATTTAAAATATAAATTAAGTATCATTAAAAATGAACTTAAAGAGCTTTTGATAATTATTATCTGTTTTTTGTTCTAA